CATGCATGCATGTGTGTACATATGTGCATATACATGTGTATAGTCATTCATACGCATATGGATGTATGTACGTATGTATGTATGTCTGTATGCATGAATGCATGCATGCATGCATGCATGCATGCATGCATGCATGTATGTATGTATGTATGTATGTATGTATGTATGTGTATGCATGTATGTATGCATGGATGCACGTATGCATGTATGCATGCACGTGTGTGTGTGTATGACACTCAGTAAATAAACATGCATATATATATATATATACATAGATATACATACTCACATACATGTATACGCAAAGGTATGTGTGTATATATATACACATGCATCTAAATTAAATAAATATATATATATATATACATACACACATACATGCATCGCCATGGACCAGTGCAAAATCGAAGAGATCGAGATATGATAGTTTTCAACCTTCCTGTTTATACCGTATAAGTAAGTCTGCCCCAAACACGAATCGACTCAAGCCCCAACACCCCAAGCCGTAAAGCCCAAAACTCTACAGACCCAGGTACATGAAGCAATACGACTGGGAGGCGCCTGGTGGCTGGACGGGGCCTGGGCCCAGGTCTCTGCGTTGCTTTGGGGTGTTTATGCTCTTCTACGATATGACCACCATTTGCGTGGTAGCCGTCTTCAGATGGACGATACTAAGCGTAATCATTGCCCTCGTTATATTCATCAATTTTGTTATCGTCATCATCATGATAATCGTTATCATCTTCATCTTCTTCACCACCGTGGTCATCATCGTATCATTCATACTCTTATTCATCCTCGGATTTTATCATCGTGTATCATGATGTTTAGCTTCTTCTTCATGGTCATCACCATCGTCATCGCAAGCATAATCATAATGTTAATCCTCATGTTTGTCTTTATATTCCACTCATATTCATCCTGATCGCCATCACGATCATCGTGTTCATGTTCATCGTTATCATCACGATCATAATCCTCTGCATCTAAACATTGTTATTCATCTTCATTCACATCTTCAGTTTCACCACTAGCAACAACGACCTAGGCGAATGTAGTTGTCGTCATAGTAGCATGACTTTTGCTTGCGGTTGCAGTTGCGCGAGCATCCTTCATCATAACGACATTTAAGGAACACGATGCTGCTCGTGTGATATGACCGAGACCCTTGCTTGTAAACATGCGGAAACATGCCGTACGTGCACATTGTCGCCCGCTTCTATTTCCGTTTGGGGTGCAGCGGTTGAAAGTCGTCCAACTTTATGCACCTGTTGCAGCCATGGAGTAATAACATCGACGTGTTGCTTATTTGCTGGTTGTCTATCTTGAAATGCCTGGTGGCAGATGCATTCACTAGTAAACTCTATGATGTATATGCAAAAGTAAGTATCCACTGGCCTCATTATGTGCCGTCAGCTAGTGTTCGTACCCATGAGTACATTACCGTTACCGCCTCGCACGGTCGACTATTCTGCACAGTTCCCATGTGGATATTCGATGGCAGTACTGGCCCTTCATATTTATTGCTGACCTTCAGGTACCCCAAAAAGGCTACTTTCATTATTAAGGCCCTATATGCACAGAGCGTTCAAGGTACCGGGTCCTGCAGGAGAAGTGATCTTCCGAATTGCTTTCACCGCAAAACGAGCGAAGAGCGAAGACCGCTCAGATTTGCATGTATCAACCACCCGGATCTCAAAGTAGTGTTTAGGGTTAAGGGTGCATCGTCGACCCGGATCCCAGAGTCTCTATTGGGGTTTAGGCTTTGAGGTTTCTTTTATGTTGATCTCGGTTGTACTCCTGGGTCTTTCGGCAGTCATTTCGGCGTGAGGGAAATAAAGAGGTTCCGGCTTATGGCAGCTCTAGGCCAAAGCAGACCCTGCGGCAGAAAGCCTAACCTTTTCGATCTCCACCAACCACAAAGATAGAAATGCTCCGGCCACTAAAGGTCCGTAATCATACCTATAGGCTCCATTGTAGTTCCTTTTTTTGGTTTAGCTAGTTTTATGTTAGGATCCTAAAAGGTATCCCCAAAAAGGAGCTACAATGGAGACTATAGGTAGGTTCACCTCGTTGAGAAGTTGCAAGTTCCATCGGATTCCTCCTTGCGGTGCACAAGGTAAAGTCACAATGCAAGAACAGATGGGTGGTTGTCAAAATTATGGTCCCCTTTTGGGTCCTTATTATAATACGGCACCTATTATTTAGGGTACCCCAAAAAGGGACCCTAATTTTGACAACCACCCAGATGCCGCTCTTTACTTACTACCTCGACTCCTCAGTTACTTCCCCACAGCTAGGAAATTTTGTTGGGATGCTCCTGTCAGTTTGTAAGTCGGGCTAGTAGGATGGGTTATCGGGGTTGCTACAATAGCCTGATGGGTATTACGCTGGGTAGCAAGGAGACAAAGGAGCCTCCAATGGCCCGCCTCCATTGGCCGTCCAAGTAAGGTAGCCTTTTTTACAGGATGATGCAGCAATGCAAGAAGGATGCTGGCCTCAGGTGTCCCATGCATGTTTCCTGTATATTCCCCATATGTGAACCAAGGGCATCAGAAGGGTTTTATCGGTGCTTGTCTCTACACATGTCCTTTGACTGACATCTTGCGCTTTACATGCATAAGCTTCCTTCCACAGGTTATGGTAGCAGAAGCAGATGGTTTGTGAGACGGCTTCTTAGTCAGATTCGGGCGTGTTGTGCAGGCCATGTGTGCGGTAGCACCACGGCAGGCTTCAAGACATTTTTCCCAGAAGCCTTCCAGCCTTGACACGCCTGCTCCAACCGAGCCTGCAAGGGCCTTGTCTGCCTATGCGGTCACATGCCAAGCCGCCACATACACCTTGAGGAAGGTAAGAGTTTAGGGTTTAGGGTTTTGAAAATGCATAGCAAAGACAGACCTGCCTCCTTAGACTTCTCTTGGAGGTCTAGGCAGCATTCCTGGACGTGTCAAGCATATATGCGTTTCACAGCGCCGTACCAAAGAACCGCTCACGCGGTGAATGCGTCACTTCAAGCGATCCTGGGACTGGTGATCGGTTAGTTCAGAGCATCGACGTGTTAAGCCAAGATCGCGACAGTCAGAAGTTCGTATCTGTTAATTATACGAAAAAGCACTCAGCTGATCATAAACCACCCTCATAAATCCGTACTACGACAAGACGGCCAATATGATGCAAGGACAAAACAGCTTGCGATCAAGATCACTGCGATTGGAATATGTTGGTCATGCGCCAAAACGCGACGAATGGGGATGATGATGATGATGATGATGATGATAATGAGGAGGAGGAGGAGGAGGAGGAGGACGACAGCAGCAGCGGCAGAGTGGTGGAAGTGGTAGTGGCAGTGCTGCTAAGGGTAGGGGCGGTGGTGCTGGTGGTGGTGGTGGTGGTGCAGGTGGCTGTTGCCGTTGCTGTGGCTGTTGCAGTTGTAGCTCTACTGAATCAGTGGTCGTAGCTCTAGTCGTGGTGGTAGCACCAGCCTTCGTCGCACAGACATCGTATCCCTGGTAGTAAGCAGCAGCCCCAGAACCCAAAGGCCAGGGTCGATCTTTCCATCTATGCAGAGGTGCACGCTGAAAGTGTGCCACCAGCCAGGGCCAGCCCAGTCTAAAATACCGCAACAGGGAGCGAGGGAAGGTTGATTTTCCAGGCGGTGTGCATCGAGTTTCGCCCTCCCAAGCCCTACTGGTATAGACCGTAAGCCGTAAGTTGATTCCCGACAGTCGCATCAGCTTCAACTGATGAAGAGTAGGCATCCCCGCGTAAGCCATAAGACCGTGGGAAGCCTTGCATAGGCCTCATTCCCTTTAAGCCCGCCCAGTGGCTCCTTAAGATGCTAGTACTCGTAGCGCTGTTGTATAATTCAGAATCTTGATTACTCATTATTAACCATTATGACTATTGATTTTCCTGAGTTCCTTATTGTAGTTATAGTATATTATACTGCAAGACCTTATTCCTGCTTCCAAGACCTTATTCCCTCTTATTAAACACCCTAAATACTAAGCCCTAAACCCTAAACCCTGTAAGCCCTAAATCATTAACGCTTCTCTATTAAACACTAAACCCTAAACCCTAACCCTATTTCTACAAGCCTCTCTATTATCATGCTGTCAGGGTTTTTGGTCCAGGCCTCGGGCTTACTCGCCTGCGACTTCCGCACCCTAAACCCTACCTGGACCCTTAAGAACCTACCTTTGTTCAGAGTTCCTTGTTAGATAAACTATGTTTTTTTTTTATGTAAGGCTTAGAAAGGTATGTTATGTCGGGCCCAGGTAACTTAGAGCCGTGCCAGGAACCGAGCGGAGCTCGAAGACCTGTGCAAGAGGCGATTCTTCTTTCGCCAGGCCTCTGTGGGTCTGCGATTTAGGGTTTAGGGTTTTAGGGGCTACTTTGGAAGCCTCAATAATTATCACGTTTATTTCCCAGATTTCCTTGTGATAAGTAAAGTATAGTAAACCCAAACCCTGTTCTAATTATTAAGGCCCCTATAGCATATGGCTCTGTAAAGGTTCGGGTTTAGTCTTTATGGTGTGGGCCCTTTTCCCTATTTCTTCACTCTAGACCGCCCAAACCGTGCCTGAGCCTTCCTTAGCGCCCATAGCGTTTCTTGTTTGAGTTTCCCGTAACCCTAAACCCTCTTAGGAGCCCAATAGGTAAACTTTAAGCTTTTTTGGCATATTAAACCCCCACTAAAAGAAAAGTTTAAACTTTTTTGGGCCAGGGTATTGGGCTTAAGGGACTCGAATGCGGCCCTGAAAGCTCTGAGATCCGAGACCTAAAGCCCCAAACCGGGTTTTGGGATTCCTTTAAAGGGTTTCTTGAAGGTTTCTATAAGGGCTACTATAAGGTCTTAGGGCCTAAACCCTAAACCCTAAACCCTAAACCCCAAAAAGCAAAAAGCACCAGGGCTCGGAAATTTATGGCGGCGTCAGCGGCTTCTACACGTATGGACCGCCGGGCTGCGCTCTAAAGACGAGTCTTCTGCGGCATTTGAGACTTTAGCGTGTAAAGTTTGGGGTTTAGGGTTTGGGGTTTCAGGCGCCAGGGAACTTTAGGGCATTAAGCTCGTTAGCGTTTAGGGTTTAGGGTTTCAGTGTTCATACGCAAGGCCAACAGAGACTAGCTAGAAGTCACCCTTCTCAGACGTAGTTCAGTCTAGATTGCTAGTTTTCAACTTCAGGATTTGAGGCCCTAAACCCTAAACCCAAAACCCTGAATTTGAGGTGCCGAGTCTATGGCCGAGCTTCAGGTTGAAAGCTTGAGGCTTAGGACTAAAGCTGTAGGACGGTATCGGCCATAGCAAGGCGATGTAACTCCTCGCGTCTTTGAGAAGAAGCCAGCCGTGAAGTCGGAATCGGCCATCATAAGTCAGTCCGAATTTCCTGTAAGTGACTCAGTTTTTGCTATGGCAATGGCAACTGCATTTGGCTGTCTAAGGGTGCAATGCTTGATCATACCTTGCAACCGAGGAACATCATTCGGAAGTGGCGGAAGCACTTCCTCATCGAGGATGCCGGATCAGATTCCGAGTAGCTGACTGCTGCCCTTGCGTGTCTTCGTGAATCTGAATGA